ATTCTCATCCCTCTGTCCCTCGCTCTCTCGCTCTCTCGATGCTTCTCTGTGCTATCTTCTGACGCGCATCTCTTTCTCTCTCTCTCTGCTGCTCCACCTCTCTCTCTCTCTCTCTTCTCTCTTTCTCTCGCTCTCTCTTTTCCTATTTCTCTCTCTCTTTGTGTTGTGCCCACCCACATGCTGTCAGCCTGCCCGTTTCCACCTTGAACGTATAAGAACGGCCGAAGAATATTATCCCATGCATTAGCATAGCTGGGAATCGTGGCGTGATGCTGCGAGCGAAGTGAAGCATGTAAATCAAGATTTTACCATGCACACGATGCTGCCAGCCTGCCGGCCTACACTACTTGGAAACGTTGGAACCATAAGAACGGCCGAAAGAATATTATCTTGGCAGTCAAGCGGCGAGCCGACGTCTGCAGCCGGCCATTTGCCATACAGCGACCTTGGCCATGTAGATCCGATTTTACCATGCACACGTGCACTCACTCACTCTCGGGCTATTTACCTACCTCTCTTTCTTCGCTTCCTCTCTCATTCCGAATTGCTTGTTTTCTCTACTCTCTCTCTCTCTCTCTCTCTCTCTCTCTCTCTCTCTCTCTCTCTCTCTCTCTCTCTCTCTCTCTCTCTCTCTCTCTCTATCTCGCGATATTTTTCATTTTTTCTCGCATTTCTCAAATGCTCTAATAGGTCTTTATACTTAACTTCCTTTCTTTTATACGAATTTCTCCCATTTCTGCTCGCAACACCCCCTCCCTGCTGCTCGTCCACACTCTCTCTCTCTCTCCTCTCGTCTCATCCTCCTGTATTGTTTTCATCGTCTCGCTGTCTCTCGTCATGCTCTCTCTCTCTCTCTGCTCCTCTCTCTCTCTCCTCTCCTTCCTCTCTCTCCCCGTCGTTCATTCACTTCTCTCTCTAATCTCTTCCTCTTTTTCTCTCTCTCCTCCTCTTTCTTCTCTTGCTGCTCTTTCTCGCCTCTCTCTCTCTTCTCGGCGCACTCTCCTCTCTCTCTCTGTCTCTCTCTCACACTCGTCTCTCTCTCTTCTACCATATTTTATCTCATCGCTGGCAGATAATAGTAACTAGCAGTATTTTGCAGCCAACTCTAATGCGCTAGTCTTCCCTCGCGAGGGAAACCAAGCAGCGGCAACCAGGTTCGCACGCACGTGAACTGCTCGCGAAACCCTGATGACGTCACTCATGCCCATACGACGATGAAAGCAAATACCGCGGTGAGGGTAGCTCACCTATTTTAGGGGTAGGGAGCTCCTCACCTAAATGGGCAAATTAACGGCAAAAAGATGGCTCGACGGTGAAAACATGGGGCAAAAAGATTGCAAGGGAAAAATCTGGGGGCAAAATGTTGTCTAGGAAATATTTTTGGGGGCAAAAAGATGACAAGGAAAACGAAAAGGGCGCAATAAGGCCGCGCGCACACACCACACACACGCACACACACACACACACACACACACACACACACACACACACACACAACACACACACACACACACACACACACACACACACAACACACATACACACACACACACACACAACATAATATACATATATTATATTATATGTATGCGGCACTATCGGAGAAAAGGAAGTAATTTTCATATCGACGACGACCAGTCAATCGGCACGACACGATAGCGGGCAGCTGAGCGCGATTGCGCCTGCCAAATTTCATAACGGTAATGGCAATTTCAGTTGTTCGACGCGCGGTATTGTCAGTCTAGTACCTCCGCAAAACGTAATAATTATATTTGATAACGTAAATGCAATATTAAGTTTGATCGTGCGCGCGGTTGTTGTCATTCTAGGGTTCTTTTATTTGTTCCTTCCTTGCTATTTTGGTTACTTGGTCGAGGTAATTAAACGGGCAACCCACCCAACCTTATGGACACACCATACCTCAATCTTCTTTGTTTTTGGCTTGTCTTCGTGGATCTTTGATTCCAATTCTGGGACGACAGCGCCAGTATAACGCGCGGGGAATTTATGCGATGACTTCACGCGCAAGCATTTTAGAGAACTTATATGCAATATTTCTTACTATCACTCTCTAAGGCAATCGTGGATCTCAGGGAAGCGCATTGACTGGCGGTTGTTGAATGTACACTAACGTGATTGATGTTGGGACAAATACATAGAGTGAGACAAACCGACCACACGTAATGCACTCTTACTCTCTAGCGGAGCGCGTTTGCCGCACTTCCTCTCTCTAATCCTCTCTGCTCTATCTCCATCTCTCCTCTCTCTCTCTTTCTCTCTCTCTCCTCTCTCTGCTCTCTCATCTCGCTCTCTCTCTTCTTTTTCTCTCTCTCTCTCTTTCTCTCATCTCTTATCTCTCTCTCTACTCTTCCTCTCTCTTCTTTTTTCTCTTCTCTCATCCTCTCACTCTGCTCTCCTATCTCTCTCTCTTCTCTCTCTCCGCCTGCATCCGTTTCTCTCTCACCGAATGAGGAGACCCGCGCAGCGGCGTCTCTCTCTCACTCGCTCTATTCTCCTCGCTAGAATCGCTCTCTCTCCTCTCTCATCTCTCTTTCTCGCTCCTTTCCTCTGCTCTCTCTCATCTCTCACGATCCTCTTTCTCTCCTCATTCCGTTTCTGCTTTCCTCAAACGAATGACGCGCGCGCGCTCTCTCTCTCTTGCCTCTTTCTCTCTCTCTTTCTCTCTCTCCTCTCTCCCTTTCCGTTTCTCTCTCACGGGCGCGCGCGTCTCTCTCTCGACTATCTCGCTCTAACATCACTCGCTCATCGCCCTCTCCTCTCGTCTCTACTCTCCTCTCTCTCTCTCATCTTTGTCTCCTCTCCACAATTCCTTTTTTTCTCTCATGCCGCGCCGCGTGTCTCTCTGTTTCGCTCCTATCTCTCTCGCGCGCATCTCTCCCCCCCTCTCTCCCTCCCGCACGCTGCTCTCTTTCCTTCTCCTTTCTCTCCTCTCCCTCGCCGTCCCCCCTCACTTTCTCTCTTCTCCTCTCGCTCCTCGCTTTCTCTCTCTCTCTCTCGTGCGTGCGTGTGCGTGCGTGCTTGCGTGTGTGTATGCGTGCGTGCGTGCGTGCGTGCGTGCGTGCGTGTGCGTGCATGCGCGTGCGTGTGTGTATGCGTGCGTGCGTGCGTGCGTGCGTGCGTGTGCGTGCATGCGCGTGCGTGTGTGTAGGCCTACTTGTGACTATAAGGCATAAAGTCTAGAGAGAGGGGGAAGAGAAGGAGAGATTACGAGGTTCCTATTATTCCCCGGAACCGAAATTTGCCGTTCACCAGCGCTAGAGTCGCAGCATTATGCCACTATATGCCACTATCCGAGCACTATATGCAGCGGAAATAAACTCGCACGACACTAGAAAACTGCCCAGTACGGTAAATGAAGACTATTATCAGTGATCAAATTATAAATTATTATTTATGAATGCATTTGCTTTCATCTAACCACCCATTTATTTCCCAAAAATCCTGAAAGTTGCTTATACATCTTGGGATTGTTAGCCATTACTATCTGGAAACGCTGGTTGCTACTGTAAACATTAGTGAGTCACGCAGTGCGCGCTGAGTGACATACATGATACAATTTCACACACGCGTACACACACACGCTAGTCACTACAGTACGGAAGATGCAGGGCTATAATATGACGTGACGTGTCTAACCTCATTATATAATAACGATCATAAAAATTCACAAAAATGGTAGCAGCGACTGTAGCTAAGAACGGTAAGAAGCCAAATAGAGGAACTGTGGCTAAAAGTGGAAGTCCATCAACGCCAGTGTCAAATACTGCCGCTGCCACTGGTGCCGAGTCAGTGAGCGCCCAAGGTGTCAATGATTCTGTAGATGACGTATCTGAAAATCAACAGCCGAAACAGGGAGCAAGTTATAGAGAGGCTATAGGTAAATGGAATCAAATGCTTAGTATAATGACAGCATTGTATAATTATTTAGCGCCCAATTGCGTCCACATTATATCTGATTTTAGCCAGTTCCTCATTCACTCAGTACCCCCGAGTTTTTCTTGAGACATGTCATAAGCACAAATATTTGAGCCGTTTTAATGATTGTAGTATATAAAGACAAATTGCATTCACTTATATGCTTAAATGTCTTAAATGTTTATATGCTCTCTATCGCCTAATAATTGCATGTAAATGCCATTCAAATACTCCTGTGCAACACATAATCTCACCACTACACGGCACAGCACATATGCAGGCCACTGTACAGACTTGAAAAAATATAGAGGATACCATAGATATATAAGAATATCTTCTTCTATATCTATGAGGATACTCGCTATCTTAGTATCTAGAGGACAAGAAAGACAGAGGAAAGATATAGGAGCACTTTATCTTTCTTTGAGTTTGTGCAGTGAGATTGTGTGTTCCAGAAGAGCATTTGAAGGGTATTTGCATGAAAATGTTAGGTGATAATTGAGTATCAATACGTACAGATATAGATATAGATATAGATATAGATATAGATATTGAGCCTGTCGCTGCCGCGAGGCAACAGGTTGGCGACGGTGGGCGCCGCGCCGGCTCGCCACCGTGTGTCTGAGTTTCGCGCTGGAGCATGAGAGCGTGGTGCACCGACGCCAAGCATGCACGGCCACGGCGCCCACCACTGGGCAGCCGTGAGTGAGAACTCCCGCACGCTCCACGACGCCCGCCGCCGTAGACGCTTATTGTATAACCTATGTATATATCCACATAATATATTAGTACATGCTGACGCAAGCTGCAGGCTTACGGCGCTCCACCACTGGCCACAGCGTGCGTGAGTGTGCACTCGCCGCGCGCTTGCCCCCGCCGTCGCGTACGCTTATGTGTATATATTAAAGCGGGTGATAATGACAGATAATAATCTCAAGCACATACAGGGTTTCTGCCTCCAGGTTTTTTTAGTCCGGGCAGCATCCAGTACGAAAAGTCGGAAGATGCAAGCGCCGTAAGCGCAAAGACAACACATATAAAGAACAAAATCAACCGGGCCCTGCCCGCCAACGGGAATTTTAATTAGGGTCTGGATAGTCTGGAACTCAATTTTGGCATTCTGAGCAATACAACTATAAATCATTCTTTTTTATTTATTATAGACAGCAGAGTATTGCCGCGGCAACGCACGAGTGCGCCGGGCACACCCGCACATTTGCCGCCCACTGTGGGCAGAACCCTGACATACAATGTACACATACATAGAAACAAAAAAAAACACACATGTATTACACATAATCATATATATAATAATCGTGCCCGACATGCATTAAAAACCTTGGGGAGAACTTGCATATGTATAAGCATATGCTTGTAGTATGCATTAACGTGGTCAGACCGATCGGTTTGTATGTGCGGCGTGCATATGTGGGCCGTAAAGGTACAAGTATGCAGTTCCACACATTCATTCTCCTGAGCTGTATCGGCTTTCCTTGCCTAGAAGGGGGATTTTTACATTCAAACTAACATAAATCTAAAGTGTGCGCTAGCTTTTTTTTGGATGATATCATGAGTCTATCAATAGCTATTGATAGACTATAGATCGATATATCGACTATCGATCAAACTATGACAATAGACTATTGATAGACTCCTGATGATATGGAGAGTAGCGCTGATGCCATGTGTTATCTTCACTCAGTGTGGCTGTAAGATCGCTCGTTCTATCTTGCATTCCACCGCGGTTTGAACACTACTATTTTCAGCCGTCGTTCCTCGACCCCATGGACAGCCCACAAGGAAGCGCGAGGAGCAGCACATCAGTCATGTCGAAGAGAGGAGACAGAACACCCGTGTCAAAAAAGAAGGCAAGCCAAATAATTGTCATTATATATAACCATCCTAATTGCCCCCGCAAAACAGCCTATTTCGCCACCTATTTGTCATTATACGCACGTGAATATATGCGCATCCTATATCACACGAGCCTATCTTACGCACACATATTTGTCATTATAGCACGTGAAGTATATCGCATCTATACACCGACGCGATATCTTCGGCACGATATTGCTCGATTATAGCACGTGTATATATCCATCCTATACACCACCTATTTTCGCAACAATTTGTCATTATACGCACGTGAATTATCCATACCTAATACACGCATCTATTTCGCGACTATTGTCATTATAGCCATGATCATGATATATCCATCCTATAACCCCACCTATCTTCGTCGACGATATTTGTCATTATAGCACGTGCTATATCCTGCTATGCCAACACCTTAGTTTCGGCACCTATTTGTCATTATACACGTGATATATCCATCCTATACCATGCTATTTGCGCACCTATTTGTTCATTATATTGCACGTGATATCCATCCTAATAACCTGCACCTAATTTCGCCACCTATTTGTCATTTATAGCAGTGATATATCCATCCTATCACCATCTAATTCTTGTACCTATTTGTCATTATAGCACGTTGATAATCCATCCTATACACCTACCTATTTCGCACATAATTTGTCATTATAGGCACGTGATATATCCATCTATACACCACCTGATTATTGTAAGGCGCTATTTGTCATTATGCACGTGATACTATCCATCCTAATACACCACCTATTTCAGCACATATTTGTTCATTATAGCAGTGATATATCCATCCTATACACCACCTATTCGGCACATTTTGTCATTATAGCACCGTTGATATATCCATCCTATCCGACCCCCTATTTCGCACCTATTTGCATTATAGCCAATGAATCATGATATATTCCTATCCTATCACACCTATTTCCGCACATATTTGTCATTATAGCACGTGCATATATCCATCCATATGCGCGCATCAACTATTTCGCACGATATTTGTCATTATAGCACAGTGATCATACTCGCATCCTATACCACCACCTATTTCGCACCTATTTGTCATTATAGCACGCTGATATATCGCATCCTATACACCACCTAATCTTTCGCCGCTATTTGTCATTATACGCCGTGATGATAACGCATCCTAATACACCACCTATTTGTGCGTACGCTATTTGTCATTATCAGCCCGTGATATATCGCCTCCTATACACCATTTCTATTTTGCACGCATATTTGTCATTTAGCAGCATGAATCTGATATATCCATCCTATACACACCTAATTTCGCACCATG